GTCAATTTATGCTAATCTAGGGCTTTAGTAATTTCACTGTAGACTTCTTAGCATGAGGAGAACTGGACTGAAAGGTAAATTATTCCATATGCACAACTATTAATTATTCTAAATGTATATGCAGGTATTATTTGAAGCCTCCATTGCATTGTAAGACCTGGGCTAGATGCGGAGACTGCTACTAACCAACTCACCTTGATTTTGACTGTTCATTCTGGAAGGAGATCAGTATTTGTCAGTGTTACATTCTGATCCATCTCTAGTCAAGATAAAAGAAAAACTTTGTTCGCCTTAATTGTTTTCTGCATTTCTACCCATAATCCTTGCAAAAGAACTGTTCTGTTTTATAGCTACTCTTGGGTATGATTCTTTTGTTTGGTTTCATGGAAAATATCTGTATAGGCAGACAGCTCCCCCTTTGCACCTAAAAAAAAAAAATTATTGTTCTGATCATCAGACCTCAGAATTCAACTCAGGAAATCATGCTGCATTTTTCTGAATAAATATTTGTTGGCATATATGTGAGAAGTGTTAGCCAAGAGCACCTGGGTCAAAATGTGGGCAAGTACAGAGATGGGAGCCACATAAACAAACTGTTTAGGTGGTTGATGTAATGCAGGGTTGTGCCAATGGACTGGTTTCTGAATAGATTTCCTTGTTTCTCCATATTAACTTGAGATTCAGATGTTTTCCAAGAGCAACTTTAAGGAGTCCTAATGTGGAGGCCAGTTGCTGGGGCTGGTAAATGGCACATAAGTTTCTGACCTGGGCAATGTGATTTGGGTTACAGTATCTACAGAGAACAGAACATTACAAACTCAGCAATGCATCTGATGTTCCTGGAGTGAGTTGTAACATGATTATCCAAGGAGCAACATTTTGGTTCTCATACATTTGGGGTGTTGTGCTTCCAGACAGAGGTTGATACATGGAATAGGTTCAGTTCTGACTGATGAATGCTATATAGCTTCTTGGCAGTCTTCTTGCCTTCCCTCTGCCTTCCCTTCTTCTTTAATTTACCCTAAGTGTGCACCTGATTTGTGTGCCTGTTCCACTTCATTTGGAAATTGAGTTTAGGGGCACATGTGGCTCACTGGAGGGCACCATGTTGTTTTCTGGCAAAAGGGCTTTGATGTGCTCTGGTCTTTATTTCTCTCCTTTCAAATATAATGTGACCACCTCTTTTATAGAAAAAAAAAAACTTGAAGGTATAAGTGAACCTCATTCAATAGATCTTTATTGTGCATTTCCCCTATCATAACATCTAATTGCAAGGTCATGAGCTCTGTGGGAATAAGACTTATCTTCCAGTTATCTTTGGATTTCCAGAATATGCACAGCAATCAAGATTAAGCAAATAGTTAAATGCATTGAAAGAAAATCATGGGAAGGAAATGGGGACAGCATATCTGAGCCTTCTGACCTCTTCCCCACACACCAGCTTATAGCCACAAAGTCTAGCGCTGTGTGTACTGGCTTCTATCCCCAGTAATGCAGTAGCCATGAGTCCAGACTTCTGGTCATGTCCCCAACAGCAACAAAATCCACTATTAGGTACACGTTAGTGTATGCAGGCATGTATGCGAGGCCATATGGTAATACCTCTAGGCCAGGCTGCCCAGTTAGAATCCTGCCCCCTCCCCCCACTGCTGCTTAATGGCCATGTGACTTGGGCAAATAATTTAACCTCTGGCTTCCATTTCTTCAACTGTCAAATAGGAATGATGATAATACCCATATCTTAGCATTGTCATAAGGATTAAATGAGTTGCTAACGTGTGAACCACTGCAGGCCTGGCACGGGTCAGCCTGTTAGATGCTATGTTACACAGATATTCCATTTTAGTAATAAGGTTTATGTATTAAAAGTCATATCCAATGTAGATACTTTAAAAGAATAGGTTAGCAGTATAAAGTCTAATAAAGGTTGAGTATCCTTTATCCAAAATGCTTAGGAACAGAAGTATTTTGGATTTCAGATTTGGGAATAATTTCATATGTACATAATGAAATACCTTAGAGATGGGACCTGGGTCTAAACACAAAATTCATTTAGGATTCTCATAAATACCCCGGACATAGTTTTACATAGTAACTTTCAGTGTTGCCTATGTTCTGATGTAAACCATCACTCGAGATCAGGAGTGGCATTCCCCACTTGTGGCATCATGATTGTGCTAAAAAAAAAGTGTCTGATTTTGGAGGATTTTAGATTTTAGATTTTTTCAGAACAGGGATGCTCAGCCTGTATGTTATACCTATGTCCCATTGATATGTCTGGAGCACCCCTTAGAAACCACAGTCCTGGGAAGCCGAGCAAATTATTCATCCCCCTCCTGCAGGAGTTATCATGCATGGCATGGCTGACCCCTAGGGCTGAAGTCAGTCAAGACCACTGCACTCCGGTATTCTTAACACCCAGATTATTTTGCTGCTTGCACCTTCATATAAAAAACTTGCATTCCAGCCCTCTTTCTTTTTATAATAAGAAAGAGGCCGGGATTCTTATGGTGAAATAGGGTCAGATGCTGAATGAAGGCAGTGAGTGGCTGCCATCCTGGGAAAAGGGAAGAGGAGGCTGCTGAACTGAACCTGAACCTGCCCAGGCCTCTTCTCCAGCAGAGCCTCCGAGGAGGACAGCCCTTCCCAACTGTGTGGAAGACTTTTGGTCCCTGGACAGGCATGGTGGCAGAATGTTTGGATGAGGAGGGCATAATGCTAACTTGGTGGAAATGAAGCCCCTGCTTCATCCAGTTTACAATGTATCCAGGCCTGGCTTGGGCTTCTGTTACTTTTTTTTTCAATGAATCCTTTTAGTGACTTTGAAGGCAACTTGTTAGCAGTAAGAATGCAATTTGGAGAATATTCCTCCTTAAAACTGATCATGCACACAGTCCCTGGGCATCTGCCCATCACATCAGACAGTGTCCCAGTGCCCTTCATGCATTGTGTCTCCTGTGGTCCTCTCAGCTACCCAGGAAGGAAGGTGCTACTGTTAGCACCATTTTTCACATGAGATTAAACAGTCAGGACTGAAACCCTGTGGTCAGGGCCTGTCTGTGTCCTTCTCCACCAGACTCCACAGCTTACAAGCCTGAACAGTCTATGGTGCTAATAAGATTAAAACACCTATGAAAGAACTTGGTGAGGTCCAGTGCTGAATGGAAAAGGCATTATTATTTTCACAGTMTCCTGTAAACCCAGTCAGCATAAGAAGAGCTAGTGTTATTGAGCATTTATTATGCCCCAGTGGCTCTACATGCATGCATTCTGTTATTTTGGTCTCACAACCACTGCAAGGTGTTTAATTTTACAGATAACAAAGAAACAAGGAGTCAGAGACTGAGGGCCTTGCAGGGATGTATAGCTTATAGATAGTGAAATGGACTWGACCCTGGGCAGCTCATCTCCGAAGCTCTGGCCTTAACCTCACTTGGATCCTGTTGCCTTCCTGAATTGGGAGACTTCAGAGGCCTACTGGAGATAAGGGAGAGCATAACAGGTCACCCTGACAATAGAGCTGGCTGGTTGACTTGGTCCTTTGTAAGGAATGAAAACAAAATATACATGCACACCTCTGTGGTCTACCCAATTCCTAGGCTGTAGAAGGGCTTAGCTATATTTATCCATTCAGCAAATGTTTGTGGACACCTCTGGCCCACCAGGCGGTGTGGGAGTGCTGCCTGGCAGCTAGTCTCTGTGCTGATAGGTGCAGAGACTCACGGTTAGGGCACCAGGTGGGAGGCCCAGATGCTGTGGGAGCCTGTGGGGGAGGGGCAGTGGAGAGAAGCTCCAGAAGGAAAGAGGAGCTGCTTTGCAAACTGAAGGGCCAGAGGCAGAGGCCACTGAACGCTGGAGGAGATCACGTGATTAAACTGGTTTGTCCGGGAAGGGCAGCGACTGTTGTGTTGTGGCCATGGATCAGACCCGCCTTCCAGGATGTATCCTTCAGCTTCAGAACCAAAGGTGGGTAGGAGGGCAAGGAGGTCGCTAGGTAGGAAGTTGTCCAGTTAAGGAAGAGGTGGTGGTGGCATGGAGGACAGTGTGGTCCAGTGAGCTAGGGTCAGCACCTCAGTTTCTCTCTTTAGCGCTCCCAGCCATGGGATGTAGTTCTGACAGTATCTTCCAGCTTGAGGATTGGTAAGTGGGAAGTTTCAACTGTAGCTACTAGTTGAAGTCRCTGGGATTAACTGAAAATCCCCCAGGTCACCCTCACTCACGCTCCTTTAGGACTTTCATGAAAGGGTTTAGGGACACATTTTATTTCAGTATTCACATAAAATTATGGTGGTTGTCTCTCAGTGGCACTTGGTTTYGGTGAGGGCACCACTTGACACCAGCGCCATGTGTGTCTTTTCAAATCTGCTCAATGTGGAGTCAGCCTGGGCACGATCTGAGGCAGGCTGGCCAGGTAGCCGGCACTTAGAACTGTGCTTGAGGCCACCATTCACCTCTGCCCCCACCCTCTGACTGACAGGCGACCCTCTAGTACCCACATGGGCTGGTTCAGTGGCACCATCAATCCTGGCTGAAGTGGTGGGTTTGGCATGTGTTCTTCTCTTGCTCAGAGCAAGGTCCCATGAGAGGCATTGTGGGCTAACTACCAACTAGCCAGGCGTGTGGCATCTTTAATCTCTTGGGAAGACAATTGTCTCAGGCATACCCAAGACAGAAACGGGGCAAAAGAAGCCAAAAGTGGTGACATCTCACCTCTAGAGGCCCAGCAAGATGGATAGGACTTCAGGGGGCCCCCATTTTGGGAATGATAGGACATCCTTGTTTGCACGGGTAGGCAAAGTCCATATGAAAAAATCAACCGAGGTGACAGTTTTGCAAAGTGGCATGTATTCTATGGGAACTCTGGTGACATGAAGATCAGAGCAAGTTTTGATCCTTTACCCACCAACAMACACCCTTATTGGCTGGTCCCTTTTTCTTATCACTAAATGCTGAGTTTTTGTCTTCCATCTTTTTTTTTTTTTTTCTGCAAATATGTTCAGGGTGAAGAAGCTGAAGGAGACATTTGCTTTTATTCAGCAGTTAGACAAAAACATGAGCAACCTTCGCACCTGGTTGGCTCGCATCGAGTCTGAGCTTTCGAAGCCGGTTGTTTACGACGTCTGTGACGATCAGGAAATCCAGAAGAGGCTCGCTGAGCAGCAGGTGGGGCCATGGGAAGTGAGCTGTCTCCCAGCAGAGGTGTCTAAGATGCAAGTCTGATAACGAACACAGACTTGCCCACATCATCTGCTGTGTTTCAGCATGTTTGCATTTCATAATATCGGTTTGTTTTTTTCCAGGAAAAAAACCCTGATTGCCTGTCTGCATTTTTATATGTGTGAGGCGTCCATCTCTTGAATGCCCACCCATTCACATAGCTCTTTATGAAACAGTTTAAATAGTGTGTAAGATGTAGACCTTAATCTTAGTGAGAAATTAGGGGGTTTAGTTGAGTCATTTTTTTTTTGAACTTTGATCTTTGTTGTGTTTTGCTAACATAATTTTGAAAGGCAACAGGTTGGAAAAGAAATACCTCTTTTTATGAAGGAAAGTTTTCATGGGGTCATGCTATTTGTGTCTGATAGACATTTTTTTAAAAAACAAAAATTATAAGATATGCATGCCTACAGTCCAACTACTCAGGAGGCTGAGGCAGGAGGATCACAAGTTCCAGCCAGCCTGGGCAACTTAGTGAGACCCTATCTCAAAAGAAAATTCTTTTATACAAGCAAAGGAACATACTAGGACCAAGAAGCTCAGATGTGCAGAGTTTACCACACTTTGCATTTTGTCATCAGTTATATATATGCATGCTCTGAGCTAACCTTGGAAATCTGCATTTTGAAAAATCACTGAGTTCCACTAGCATTGGCCACTGCACCCACTGGCAGGAGCTCTCTGACATCACTGGTTTATTGAATCCACTTTGCTGCCTTCTGTAAATTTTACTCACATGCCATTTTCATAATGCACTGCCCAAGTTTGTCTTTATTTTTTAAATTACCAAGTTTTATATTGTTCTTTCTGTGGCTTTTGTTCATCTCCGTTTTCTTTCAGAGCTATAGGCAGATTATTCCAACCACGCAAGGCGTATGATTCTTAGATTTGAATCTGGTTTTGTCCCATTTAACCTCTCCTGTGCTCATCCTATCCATCATAGCTGCTTAGAGACAGTTTGTGTTGGCACATTTCCCCCAGATTCAAGGCCAGAAGGCTGCCTGTTCTATGACATTCTCTTGAGTTCGGTCCATCCTTTTAATGGTTACAAGTGTCATTTCATGCTTCTATAAACAGAGCCAAGTATTTGATATTACTATTGCCTTTACTATTCAAATGATGCCTATAATGGCTTTCAAATTAGTATGATTTAATATTGCTACAAATTATTACTGGTTTTACCACTTCAGATATCTAAGGGTGTCTTTTTATTAAGGTCATCTAAATTCTGTCTTTGCTTTGTGGAGAAAGAATATGACATAAATTTCAAAGAACTTCAGTGGGCAGTCTAGAGATTTTGATGCACTTCTCAGTGGAACATCATCAGCTTCATTTACAAATGTAATCTGTTGGACAAATTTCTTAATTTCTAGTCTCTTAATAGATAAGGCATTGCAAACAACTATCAATCCTGAGTGGTGAGTCTTTTCAGATAAATAGTAAGAAAGATGGCAGTATCTTTGCTCTTAAAGAATGATTGGCTGAATTTAGTACAGGCTCAAAACTGTGTTAACTTTTTATAAATCTGAAATATGACACACTAAATTGCAGGATATTTATTCCTAAAGTGTACAATTTAGAACTGCCATTCTCTTGGCCTATTTGTTCCCATACTGAAATGATACATAATTTCCATCTAATGGATTCGAGGTTTCCCTCTTTATAGAATTCAAAGTTACCATAATGGAAGTCTTATTCCTTTTGGTTATCAAAATAGTTGTGGAGTTAGTATTTAGGACTACCATTACAGCAAATAAATTAGATGTATTAATTTTCTATTGCTGTTGTTTACAGCTTAAAAATGCAAATGTATTAATCTTACAGTTCTGACCAGGCACCAACCTGGAGCTTGCCCTTCCGAGGGCTCCACAGGAGAATCCATGTCTTTGCCCTCTGGCTTCTAGAGGCCTCCCACATCTCTGGGATTCTGGCCCACTTCTTCCACCTTCTAAGACATCAATCAACATTGTCTCTATGGGTCATTCTTCCATAGTTGCATCTTCCTCTAAGTCTTCTACTTTTAAGGACTCTCAGGAACACATTGCACCCACCCAGACAATCTAAAATGATCTATGTTAAGTCAAATGATCAGCAAACTGAATTCTCCTTTACCTTGTAACCTAATATATTCATGGGTTCTAGAATTAGGATTCAGACATCTTTGGAAGGGAGGGGATTCATTTCATTGTTCTGCCACCTGAGCAAAGTTTTAGTACTTTTGTTGAATGGAATGAACTAGCATGTGTTTCTTATACTAAACCTAGATCATCCAAAACACTAAAAACAGAAGTGGCACACAAATGAACTTATGAGTCASTTTTTAAAAACCTTACTTTTTCATCCCTAATAAATATAATAAGTTGCTTGATTGCCTCTGGTAAAGGACCCAAAAGCTTGGGATTGCCTAGTATTGCCTCCTGCAAATGCCCCCAGCTCCCTAAAGAGCCATGATATCCCTGGGTCCTCTTTGTAATGTCCTTAGGGACCTGGTGAGGAAGGATTAGACTCTATGAGAGTCCTCTGGGTTTCTCCTTTCTTTGGTAGAACTTCTTTAGATAGTTGTTGATGGGGTCATTCTTTCAAAATGCAAAGGAAATGGCRCCCATTAGTGACAAATCATGAGCCACTTTCACTGAGTCTTAAACATTTCTCTCCTGATTTTTTGTTTGTTTGTTTGTTGAATCCCTGAGGGTGCCAGATGGCACTTGGGGACATTTTTAGTTGCCCTCTCATTCTGTAATGACCAATAGCCTCTTCCCCAAAGGCCCACTCAGCTTCACTCCAAGCCCCCTAACCGTCCCCCAACACTACCCTGGTTGGCTGGCTTGCCACCCAAGCCCCTCCCATGGAGACTTCCTGGAGCCACCACACCATGGGTTCCTCTCTGTGATTTTCTTCTTTATCTTATTTTTCTGGTTTCTTTTTATCCTCATCCTTCCTGACTGCATCTCTTCTCTGGTTTTATGTCTCCCCCATCACCTCTTGCTGAGCACCCTCTTCCTCCTCCTCCTCTGCTCTTTCCTAACTTCACTGTCAACTGCTCAGGAAAACAGAGTGAAGAGGAGCCCCTTTCCAAAACCCTTGGCAAAAGTCTTTCCCAATGTCTTCTGCCTTTCCTTAAACTCAGTTTGTCTCCAAGTTTGGACARTCTCTGAAATGCAATTATTGTTCAGCTTCATGCCTCAGTGGGCATAGCAGCAGGATTATTTTACTTAATTTGCAAAATAATACTTGTCTAGGACTTGGAAGATCTACATTTTAAAATATAGTTTACAACTTGATTTTATACATGAAATTCCAACATCAGTAGGCCACTCTGGTGTTTTAGGTGTTTGGGGGGGTGGTTGTGGTTTTTTGTTGTTGAAAATGTAGGGCGTTTGCTTTTATTCAGCCAAAATGTGGATGATCTCTTTTTTTTAACTTGGTTTAGAACCTCATTTCTGTCATTTATTAAATTTTCTTTAAACATTTATTCAATATAAGCTAGATGACTAATATAAGCTAACCGCAAAAAATCTAATACATGGCATTTGGCCGGGTGTGGTGGTGCACACCTGTAATCGCAGCAGCTCGGGAGACTGAGATAGGAGGATTGCAAGTTCAAAGCCAGCCTCAGCAATGAGGTGCTTAGCAACTCAGTGAGACCCTGTCTCTAAATAAAATACAAAATAGGACTGGTGATGTGGCTCAATGGTTGAGTGCCCCTGAGTTCAATCCCTAGTACAAAAAAAAACAAAAACAAAAAACGTGGCATTCATGTTTATCCATAGACTAGACTTTCTCTGAGCATTTTCATCAAATTCTACCCAGTTGGAGCCAGGTGAGATCGAGGGAATTTTTCAATTAATTTGTCAGAATTACTCAATTAGCACTACTGTGCTAAATTACTGTTATTACTTTAATAATTCAAAGGATATGTATCAATATCAGTAAATTTCAGAAAAACCTGTTCTAATTCTATAAACCAGTAAGAATTCTTAAAAACTGGAATTCAACTTAAATGTAATAATTTTGAAGCTAGTCCTAGTATTGGCCCTGGGGATACTGCCACCCTTATAGCATTTCTGATACTCTTCCTGAGCTGTAGAGCTTTAAAAACCYACCCTGCATATCTCTCCCTGGGCTCACAGGGTGACCGAGTGGAAGAGATGTTTCTTCTGGTGCCCGTGTCTACTCGGGATCTGTGCTAGCAGCTGGCTGATTTAGAATTCAGGTGGAGTGTTCACATTTGTTCTCTCAAATCCACCCAAACACACAATGATCCAAATTGTGCACTTGAAAGAAGAAATGTAAGAAAATATTAGGCCTACCTAGGCATATAGTAGTTGTCTCCAAAATTATTTAAATACTGAGGTGACCTGGAATGACCTTGAGCTGCCCCTCTGCAGCTGGTGGYAGCCACTGTTTGTAAAGTAATCCTCTTGAAAACTGGTTTATAGCTTAGTGGAGTTGATAGTGGCTTGCTTAAACCATTGTGCAATTTCAGAAATGGTTGTATTATCAAACAGTTGAAATAGAATTTAACTTGGTCCTGGCTACTTTACAACATAATTCAGCTACTAGGATTAATGGTGTGGTCTCCTGTCACGTATCACATAATTTGGATGTCAGGGGAAGCCTATCCCATCCAGAATGGCAAAACAAACAGGTTCCTCATCTGTCTCCCTACTCCCCAGCCCACCCATGGAATGTGAAAGAATTATTCTCTCACAATGACTGAAAAAATGTGTGTGTGTGTGTGTATTATCCTCATGCATGCTGGGCAGGTGCTTTATCACTGAGCTATATCTCTAGCCCCATGTTTCCTCCTATGAAATTTTTTATCTTTTTCCTGTGACCATGCATTTCCATAAGTGTTCTTTTTTCCAAATTGGGAAACTGCATCACTGTCACTATCATGGGAGAAGAATCCAGAGATCCTTCCCCCCCCTCCCCAGGTCACAGCCCCACTCTCTGGGTAGAGGAGTCCCAGGATTCTTCCTTGGGACCTGTGGAGCCACTGATGGGCTCATGGAGAGGCCATGCACACCCTTACAGCTACCCACACAGGAGGGCGCATGTAGAGAGACAGCACAGGGCTCTTTGTAGGTTCCAGAGTTCTGTGAGCCATAAAAGCTCCAATTCTGTGGCTAACATCTCAGCTCCTGCTGAAGAGATTTGGATAGTTCAGAAACCAAATCTAAAGTGGAGGCCTTTGGGGTAGGTCATTTGGATTAGATTGCAAGCATGCCCAAAGTCTATGGAGCAGTGGCCTCTCAGGGTCAGCAGGGCCACCTGTCAGTGCACAGCAGGCCCCACACCATTCCCACCCTCACTCAGTTCAACACATAAATCCCACCTGTTGCCACCACCCAGGCTTCAGGTCAGGTGCAATGGCACAGAGCTGTACAAAGACAGGCTGAGCCTGTATTGTTGGTCCCAAGTGCACCCAGGGCTGTGTCCCTAGACTAGGGGAGGGATGAGCAGTGAACCTTTGATGCCAGCCTTCCATCCATTGCCACTGTCTCAAAGGCTTTCGTACCCTGTTACAACCCTAGGATCTGCAGCGAGATATCGAACAGCACAGCGCAGGGGTGGAGTCCGTGTTCAACATTTGTGATGTCCTTTTGCATGACTCTGACGCCTGTGCCAACGAGACCGAGTGCGACTCCATCCAGCAGACCACCAGAAGCCTGGACAGGCGCTGGAGGAACATTTGTGCCATGTCAATGGAGCGGCGCATGAAGTAAGGACCCTGCTGGCCCCAAACATCAAACTGTGGCCTACAGAACCCTGTGCACCCCCTGCCTTCAGTCATAGTAATTGCTCTATTCACGTCACTTAGAAATGTGCCAGGTATTGGCAGRGAGGACCCAGTAGGGGTGACCAGTGTTTACCAAGGACTTATTGGAAAAAAACCTAGTGTGGTGCCATCTTCCCCCAGCTCTTTTGTGGCTGCTGCTTACTATGTTTACTGGGCCATGAAGCACTGCTGAGCTTGTCTCCTGTTTTTCAGCCCTGTGAGGCAGGACCTCTGAGATGCTCGGCCCTTCCAGAAGGAAGGTGTGCAGACCAGGAGGCAGCATCCTCAGCTGTTTCCCAGGAAGGGTGGCAGGGTCCCTCCCTAATTGCGTGAGCATAAGGCAGCTAGGAATGGGCCCAGTCAGGAGGCAAAAACAAGTCCAAAGGCACAGGGTGGAAATGGGCGGCTGGCTAAGCCACTTTCCCCCCATCAGAATTGAAGAGACATGGCGCCTGTGGCAGAAGTTTTTAGATGATTATTCCCGCTTCGAGGACTGGCTCAAGTCTGCCGAGAGGACAGCAGCCTGCCCCAATTCCTCTGAGGTGTTGTACACAAATGCCAAAGAAGAGCTGAAGAGGTTTGAGGTAAACGCCTTCCCCATCCTTCCTCCTGCTAATGACCGAGACAGCAGCCACTCAGAAGCTGCTAAATGGCTTCCCAGGGCCTACTTCCCCGACCTCTGGAGGGGACAGCACAATCCTCAGCCTGCCACCAGCTGCTAAGGCAGCTTTGCAAAGTGTTACCCATGTATGCCAACAGCCATGTGCTGGCCTTGGGAGCCTGTGCTTTATCATCAAAGACCTGGGGATAGCCAGGCTCAGTGGCACACCTAAATCCCAACTTGGGCCGGGTGAGATAGGAGGATGGAAAATCTGAGACCAGCCTGAGCAACTTAGCAAGACCCTATCTCAAAATTAAAATTTAAAAGGGCTAGGGATGTAACTCAGTGGTAGAGCACCCCTGGGTTCCATCTCTAGTACCTAAAACAACTACTGGTGAAGTCACCCTCTGTTACCTGTGCAGACTGGGGACTGGCCACACAGAGCAAGCCATTGGGGTAGGGGAGGGAGATGTCCCAGCCCTCTGCCTCCTTGACACTGACCCTTCCGTGGGCTGCAGGCCTTCCAGCGGCAGATCCACGAGCGGCTCACTCAGCTGGAGCTCATCAACAAGCAGTACCGGCGGCTGGCGCGGGAGAACCGCACCGACACGGCCAGCAAACTGAAGCAGATGGTCCACGAGGGCAACCAGCGCTGGGACAACCTCCAGAAGCGGGTGACAGCCATCCTGCGGAGACTCAGGGTAACCTTGCCTGCAGCACAGGGGTTATTTGTAGATTTTCAGGGAGAAGCGATATGGGAYAGGCAGTGGCAGGCTTGTAACAGCGCAGGGAGATTTCACTGCAGGACTAACCTGTCTTAGAGTTCTCTTTGCACCAAGGAGCCCTCAGCTGCCAACGTTCATTTTTAAAGAGGGATTTGTGTTGGGGCTTCTTAAAGCCTGTAGATGTGATCTGTGTTACCAAAACACAACTCTCTACAACTTCCAGCGTGCACGTGAGCACAGGGACTGCCCACAGAGCACAGGCCCTGCTTCCTGGGTCAGTGGAGGCAATACACAGAAAGAGCCCTGCGTCTGTGTGTTGTTATGTGCCCCCAGGAATATGCATAAACCCCATCATGCATGTGCCCCTCTGCATTGCAGAGGTWGGGGGCAGCCATTATTCTCCTTTACAGCTCAGTGACTAACCTCAGAGGTTGGGGGCTGGTGTTTCAATAATACAGTGGGGGCCCCCCTCCCCCAACAGAGACTAAACTCTTTGGATGCTCAAGTCCCTCATGCAAAATGGTGTGATATTTGCAAATAATCTGTGCACATCTTCTCCTCCTATACTTTAAATTGTCTCTGGATTACTAATTGTCCCTAATATAAGCAAATACTTATTGCAGTATGTTGCTCAAGAAAAGTCTTGTCTTGTCCTGATGTTCAATGCAGACAAATTTTCTTCAAATACTTTCTGTCACAGTTGGTCGAATCCTCCAGTGTAGAACTTGAGGATACAGAGAGCCAACTGTATGTACTCACCCTGGATTTCTGTAGTTCATAAGGTAAACCTTTTTGAGTCCAGGTTTCAGCTAAAGGAGTATAGTCAGGAGCTATCCAATGTGATATTAACCCCTACTCTGTTTTCAAGGCAGAATGCTTTTGAAACCCTTTTAGAAAGATAAGAATATTTTGTTTTGGTGTTTCTGGTTTGGTTTGGGTTTTAACCCTCTGAGGAGGACATTGGCTAGCATTTCTAGTAATCTAGACAATTTCATTGTTTTGTTGTTGTTGTTGTTGTTTTTGCCCCTGAGCATCCCCAGCCTTTTTTTTTTTTTTTTTTTTTTTTTTTTTTTTTTTTTTTTTTTTTTTTTTTTTTTGGCAACAGGTCCTCACTGAGTTGCTTAGGGCCTTGCTAAACTAGCTTTGAATCTGTGATCCCCCTGCCTCAGCTTCCTGAGTTGCTGGGATTACAGGCGTGTGCCACCACAGCCGGCTCATTGTGTTAATTTCTTGATTGGACTATTACTAGTCTAAATGGTCATTTGGTTCTGAATGCCACATTTCTCTGGAAATTGGCTGCCATCTGAGAGCCTCCTAAACTGGAGGTGATGCATCTCCTCTGGGTCTCCAACATGCTCAGAATTACACAAAGGCAAGTGGGGCAGTCAGTCATCCAGGTTCAGCCCTGCAATCTGCACTTTTCTATCTTGAAGCTGCTGCTAAATCTGCCATGCCTGGCCCGGCCTCTCAAGGGGTTCCTCTGTGGACAGGGGAAAATCCCTGACTTAAAGAATTACAGAATTTCAAGTGTTTGAAAAGACCTCTGAGATCCTAATCAACATTCCCACACTTCCCTCATTTGCTAGGGTAGAAACCAAGGCTCAGAGGTTGGGGGCTTGTTTGGTATCACAGCCAGGACCAGACCCAGGCTGCAGTGTACAGTGCTTTCAGGCTTCCTGGGCACCCCGGATACAAGTCTTCCCGAGCACTCGGGCACCCTTTCCTTTGAGCCAAAGGTGATGACTACCTGAACTTTTTCCCAAGGTCAGTACAGATCTGATTTCTTCCCCTTTGCAGCATTTYACCAACCAGAGGGAGGACTTCGAGGGCACCAGGGAGAGCATTCTGGTGTGGCTCACAGAGATGGACCTGCAGCTAACCAATGTGGAGCACTTCTCCGAGAGCGATGCTGATGACAAAATGCGCCAGCTGAATGTAAGGGCTGCTTCCTCAGCTCCTCTTCAAAGATGGCAGCTTTGAGGAGGAGCCCTGGCCAAGTACAGATTTCACCTGATGCTCTAAGAGCCAATTCCAGAATTCTTTGAGCAGCTAGGTTGCATCTTACCTATGTATTACTGGGTTCTCATGAGCAAGGACACYAATCCTTGCAGTTGAGGAGTCATTGGAATGAGGCCCCCTCCCCCTTTTTTGATGGCCACTGATAAATCATCCAAGGGGAGAATTTGCTTGAGGTTCCAAATAGAAACATCATACAATGCTGTTTCTCTAGCACTCAAATTGGGTATAATGAAAGGGAAATCTWTCATTGGTGGTGCCAAGAACAGATTTAACCAATATCTATATTAGGTTTATCTCACGGTGTTCTCTCCTTAGCTAGACTTTAGAAGAAAATGAGAAATGAAAATGTTTCTCCCYTAATGGCACCCCCATAAACATTATTATTTCACCTGAGGCAGACAGATGCCCATTGGTTGCTTATTATGGGAAATGTTCTTGTGTTCCTCCCCTCACACCCAAGGATGTCAAACCCTTAGAATTTATTAATTGGAAAAAATCGGTGCCCAGAAGGAGGAGGAAAAAAATACATAGACAGCCTTTTTATACTATTAAATCATTATTGTCACTTGGTTAAAAATTGATGAAGCTGGAGTCCTGGGTACCAGACAAAATGAAAATAGGAACAAAACCAAAATGACACGCCTTTTCCTAAGGCCCTGTTTGAACATAGCACTGGACGCCCCGGGGGCAATTTTCTTTCTTTTGAAGTCTTCTCTTTCTCATCCTCTAAATAGGGCTTCCAACAGGAAATTACGTTAAATACCAACAAGATCGACCAGCTCATCGTGTTTGGGGAGCAGCTGATTCAGAAGAGCGAGCCCCTAGATGCYGTGCTGATTGAGGACGAGCTGGAGGAGCTGCACCGGTACTGCCAGGAGGTGTTCGGCAGGGTCTCTCGCTTCCACCGGCGCCTGACCTCCCACGCTCCGGTAAGGGCAAGGCGACCTGCCCAGGGCTCCACCAACCGCTTAAAGAATTGGGATGTCAGTTTCGTAGAGGTTCAACTGATTGATTTTTATGGTTAAAAATCACTGAGCCTATGCTGAAATTTTTCATTTCTGCTTTTATTAAATAGAGTTGTGATTACTTCCAAGTCCCCACTACCCAGTGGAGAGGATGATATTTCTAAAACTTCCTGCTCCTCTGACCTGTTTTCAATGTATTCCTCAGTACAGGGCTCCTCTGGCACATGATGGTACCCCGAAAATTCATTGAAAACTGTTATTACAAATTTGGGGAATGTGTTTCTTAATGTGTGAAAGCTTTTAATATCTGTGCCTTTCTGGTGTTTTGTTGGCAGATTTGAAGTTGTTTTTGTTTTGTTTTGTTTTTTAAACTTTCTGATTCTTGGAGGAATTTGCTACTCACATGAAAGTTTGCTCTGCCTTTCCCCTACCTTCCAGATAAAGTTATTTAAGTTTGATTATATACCTCAGCTTTCTATCTTGGAAATAGCTGGAGTTTTTGCAAAAAATACAGATTCTAGCCCCATTCTAGATTGGCTAAACTCAAATAACCATAAGCAGAGCCTGGGGRTACAGTTCTTTTTGAATCAGCTTTAGAAATGCTGGTGATGGCTGCTAGCCAGGCAGACTTCCAGGGCTCCTTCTAAGTGAATTGCCCTTGAACTGGTTAATTCTAAAAGCTGGATACTCCTCCCTTTAGGGTTTGGAAGATGAAAAGGAAGCTTCTGAGACCGAAACAGACATKGAAGACCCCAGAGAAATCCAGACCGACTCTTGGCATAAAAGGGGAGAGAGTGAGGAACCCTCGTCTCCCCAGTCCCTGTGCCATCTTGTGCCCCCTGCTCTGAGCCACGAGCGGTCTGGCTGTGAGACCCCTGTCAGTGTGGACTCCATCCCTCTGGAGTGGGATCACACAGGTGACGTGGGGGGCTCCTCCTCTCACGAAGAAGATGAGGAAGGTCCATACTACAGTGCACTCTCAGGTAATGGCAGATCCCCAGAGTCCTAGAAATTGACCCCATTTGGCTGTGTTCCTAGCACCCTAGTGACACGGGCAGCTCTTGATGTCTAGCTTGTGGCCGACCCAGACAGACTTCTATAGCTTCCTGGGTTCTGTCCTGTCCACCTTTTGACTTACCTGAGAACTGGCTCATTCCTATAAGCCAGTGAAAGGGTGAAAAAGCAAAAAATTGACCTACAGACATTAAAGCCACGCACAGATGGCTCTCGCTGTTGGGGAGACTCCTCAGCTAACTTTTCAGTGGAGTTTCTCGGAGCCTCAGTAGACTGAGCATCTCTGTTCTTTCTACAGAACTTCCCCTCCCTCCACCACTGCAGCAGGCAATCAGAGGTCAGCTGGGGGAAAAAAGAAAAAAAAAAAAAAAACTCCTGGTTTCAAAACTCTTCTAATAAAAAAGATAGAGTAGTTAGTTTCCTCCTTTCAGCTGACAATGTTTCACAACTGTTAACTTACTACTTGGGCATTAATCTGCAGGCATGTCCAGTGAGGAAAATGACATTATTCTTTTTCAGATGTAGAAATCCCTGAAAATCCTGAGGCCTATCTTAAAATGACCACAAAAACTTTGAAAGCATCTTCTGGTAGGCCCCTGCCCGTGCACGTCTCCACATGGCAGAGTCCCGTGACGCATATTGCATCCTAACCCTCGCTCCCATGTCCCGTCTGCCCTGTGCCTTCTGTGGACACCATGCGCCTTGGTCCTCGTGTCATGGTGTATTTACACTGCCTTACTCACCCATAGCTGCGTGCTCCCTGCCCTCACCAGAGCGTCTCCATGCCAGCCCTCCTCCCGGCAGGGCTATGTAGGAGGAATTTTTTCATGATGCCTTTTTTCATTTCCTCCATCTAACTGAAGTCCTTTGGCATGGACCAAGCTTTTCTTCATGGTGGCTTGGTTTGGAACTATTTCCTTGCTTCTGACCATTTCCAGGGACTGGGCTGGGTGGGTGGGGGTGAGGGTACCCCTGCCTCTGCTGCAGGAGAAAAAAACAACCTCCTTTCTTCGACTTGCAGCTCTAACCTTTATCTTTCACTCTGTGGTGGGGGAGAGCCATGAGCAGCAGCCCTTGGGGTCTCCAGTCCATCTTCAAGGTCACCCCTTTCCCTCAATTCCAAGAGGCCTTCTGACTTCTTGGCCCCCAGATCCAACCTGGCCACCCAGTTCCACCCCCCTACTCAAGATACCAGCTCCATTCAAAATGCCACTCATCCCACAGCCACTCATGCTCCTTGTGCTCCGCTGTGATCCCATCTAGTGCAGCACGATGCCGCTCAGCTGCATGACTCATCTCATCCCCTCCTGAGACATACTGACGTTTTGCAAACATGCATGCTTTGCAAGGAGAGCTGARGAACTCATCTTGACACTATAACCTGATGCCATATTCCCCATGACCTGCTTTGTGTCACTAAAGAGGAATCCTTTGTTTGCAAAATAGACCATCACTTGCAACTTTTTGTTTCAGGTAAATCCATTTCTGATGGCCACTCGTGGCATGTTCCTGACAGCCCTTCCTGTCCCAAGCATCACTACAAACAAATGGAAGGTGACAGGAATGTACCACCCATCCCCTCGGGTTCCAGCACCCCTTACAAATCAGCCTATGTAAGTCTTGACTCTCCTGGGAATGTAACCCAAATGTATGAGTAAGAGTTAAAATTTAAGAGAGATTTTTGGTGCAGATTACATGTGCTCACTCCCTAGGCACATCTTGAATTGGTTTTCTCATGGGACAGTTGCTCTACTGAGAGACTGGGGATAAAGCTCAGTGGTTGAACACTTGCCTAGCATGGCCCAAGGTCCCAACGTCTGGGTGATTCCTAGCACCACCAAAAAAAAAAAAAAAAAAAAAAATCTCTGCCAAACTGTCCATCCATGCTCCATTAGGACCCTGGCAAACAGACCAGAGAGGTTTCTGGCCAAAACTATCTTTGTGTACGTTGACATAATATAGTAGTAATTGTTTCTGTTTTGTCAGTTTTCCATGTAAAAATTAAAGAGACAAGTTCCTGGGCCTTCCTGAACTGCTCCTGAGCTCCCAAGCCTTGGTTATGTTTATCTTTTTTATTGTTTTTTTAATTGGTGCATTATAAATATACATAATAATGGGACCTATTGTGATATATTCATACATGCACAACACATAAATTGATCTGTTTCATTCCCTGGTATCCCTGCTTTCCTTCCCTTTCTCCCTCCCCAGGACCCTTTCCCCTGTTAAACTGACCTCTTGACCACATCCTAAGCAAAACACCATGACTTCATGTTTAGACTTGATGGCAGGCCATGGTGGATGGTGGCTTGGGTTCCCAGCCCTGCCAGTTCATGACTGCAGAACCTAAGGCACTTTGTCTTGCCTCTGTGAGCTTGACTCACCCAAGGATAACCCTGCCTTGCATAATTGTTGCTAAGATTGATGTGTGTAAAGGTAAAAGAAGGCCTGCAGGAGTGGAGGTCATCATTACTGCTGCCATATTGGGGGAGGTGGGTAGTCACAGCATCTGTCCCTTCTCAGTTACATGAGTTCTTAGCATGCTCCGGCTGGGCAAGTGGGGGACAGCCTAGAGTTTACTATGGGCCACAGAACATTCTTAGTATAGAGGATTAGTGACAAGAGAATTAAAATTAAAGCATCCCTTTTATCTTAATACCATCTTTTAGAGAAACCAACAGCAATGTAAGCATCAGGAGATTTAGTCAGAGTGCCCTCTGTCTAGCAGTGACTATGGCCACATACTTGGAGATGGATCATCTTCACACATTCAATCCCAGTCATTTAACAATGGGTTGGCCACATATAGTTCAGAAATACTTCCTTTTGCTTGGCAAGCAGCTCTCACTTAATCTGCCCTTCTGGTGTGAGATAAGATGGGGGGRAAGAGACCCAGCGCCTGACCTGTGCTTCATATACCCTGGGCCCATGTGGTTTGCTTCTCCCAAGCCATTACACTTCTCGTGTCCTTCATCTGGCCAATTTCAAAAACTCARACCTTTTTGTTGTGTCTGAAGCAGGCATGTCCCCACAAATTTGAAGGATTTTAAAAATTTGTTCATTCCACACAAATAGGCCACATGGACTCAATCCAAAAAAAAAAAGGAAGGATAGTTTTCCTAAAAGAAACACTTTTATTTTTGCAAAGGCTTGAGTCATATAGTCCATTCAGCTCTGTGATAATAGAGAGCCAGTGAATATGTGCTGTGAAGGACACACACCCTGAGAGGCGGTTTGTCCAGCCACCTCAGTAGGGAGATGGGAGGGATAGTGAAAATGCTGTGGAAATGTGAACGTGCCAACACGGTAAGCACAAAGATTGTTTTTTGATTTCTTCCCACAGTTCTCCTGGGGACCTTGAAGCATGCAAATTTAATTTTATTCCCATTGCTGCCATCTTGCCCTTTCCTGGGCTGTTACAGAGGCTTTTCAATTTTTTTTTTTTTTTTTTTTTTTAGTTGTAGATGGACACAATACCTTTATTTTATTTATTCTTTTTTTTTTTTTAAATGGTGCTGAGGATCAAACCCAGTGCCTCACACATGCTAGATGAGCGCTCTACCACTGAGCCCCAGCCCCTGTTGCGGAGGCTTTGTTTCTCCACTCAGCTCTGTTTGCTTACAAATGCTAACCACGTACGAAGCCACCTCCATATTACTAGAGAGTGGCCCTTCAAAGCAAAGGGCCCCGTACCCTTATTTCTTGCCTATGAGTCTGAACCCAGTCATTCTTCAGAAAACTTTAACTTTTATAGATGGTAACTTAAAAATTGACTCATTCTAGGGAAAGCTGCTATTACATCCAGGCACTGATGGTGGCAAAGAAAGTCCAAGAGTCCTGAATGGCAGCCCTCAGCAGGAAGACGAGCATCTGGCCACCCTAACAGGACAGCCATCAGGTACTGCTATGCCGGCGGCTATCAGAGAGGTTGTGTGTGGTATTTGGGCTGAGCTGAGCATTTGAAACATCACCTGACAGAATATTAATTAGGAATTAAGCTGGGTGCAGTGGTGAATACCTATAATCCCAGGAGCTCCAGAGGCTGAGGCAGGAGTATCACAAGTTGGAGGCCAGTCTGGACAAATTAAAAGGGTTGGAGATATAGCTCAGCAGTAAAGGTTCAATCCCCAGCACTCACCCCCCCCCAAAAAAATTAGGAATTGATCAACATATGATTCACCAAAACTATTAAACTTACTCTACAACAGCCAATATTATTTTCAGATTAAATAACTTGTATTTATGAGTCCCTATTCATTTTAATTTGGAAACTGTTCTTTAAACATTGACAAAATATGCCTTCTATGATGAAGTTTTTAATGACTTCATATATATCTCAAATGTGAAGTCTCGGGAGGCTGAGGCAGGATGATTTTGAATTCAAAGCCAGCCTCAGCAACTTAGTGAGGCACTTCGTTTTTATTTAGAGACAAGTGTCTCTAAACACCCTGTCTCTAAATTAAAAAGGTGGGCGGGGGGGTGGAGGAGCTGGGGATTTGGCTCAGTGTGTTCAATCCCCAGTACCYCCCAAAAAAATCAAAATAAAGGTGATAAAGTGTTCTCAAGTGTCCCCTCATTAGACCAGACCAATAACTGTCAAAGTTTTTGCTCAGCGAAATCTAAAGTGAAGCTGATGCTCTGTGTGATTGTGTGTGGACCAAAGGAGGAAACAGAGAACTGAGATGCTGAGTAGGCGACCAGAGCACACATCGGTCCCATTCCTCCCCAAGTCCCCGCCTCTTTCCAGCCTTTGGGAGTGTGGCACAGAGAAATGCGCTGTCCCATATTCTGGAAAAGAGAACAACCCTACCCAGATCCTCCTGCAAGGGGCGTGCGTCCCACACACTTTTACCACGCTGACCCTAGTAGCTTCAGCCAGAGAAGTCTGTCTGCATTATTGCTTTTTTTAAATTGGTGGCTTTGTTTCAGGTGCCTTTGACAGGTGGGAACTGATTCAAGCACAAGAGCTTCACAGTAAACTCAGAATGAAACAAAACATGCAGCAGCTGAACTCTAATATCAGCGCCATCACTGCTTGGCTGGGAAAAACTGAAGCAGAGCTTGAAACTTTAAAGATGGCAAAGCCTCCCTCCAACATCCAGGAAATGGAACCCAGAGTGAAGAGATTGCAGGTGAGCTGGAGGCCTGGAGGGAGAGGAGCTGAGAACAGGCACATGAATGCACTGCTGGGCTGGGTAGGTGGCAGCTCACAGATGGAGCGTGGTAGAGGTCAGCCTGTTTCACGTCACTTCTGTAACTGACAAGGTCGAAGAGTTCTATTTTTACATGGAACAGTATCTACAAATGATTGAAACCCAGAGCAGCGCTGGAGAGATATAGCTCAGATTCCCCAGGGATGGACAGATCTGATTTCCCAGGCAAACCTCTAGACTTTTCTGTTGTTGTCGTTTTTATTATGGGGGATTGACCCCAGGGGCACTTAACCATTAGGCTGTATCCCTAGGCCTTTTTCTTTTTTGAGACTGGGTCTCACTAAGTTGCTAAGGCTGGCCTCAAACTTGTAACCCTCCTGCCACAGACTTCAGATTACAGGCAGATACCACTGTACCCAGCTGATCTATATGTATAGTTCCAGGTTGGTAGATCCTGYGGCCTGATCTGGTCACCCTACTATACTGTTGGGATTTGTCACCCCATAATCAGCCTGGGCTCCACCTGTACCAGCCTAGGGAGCAGAGTAGGGGCAGTTCAAGCCCTGTGCTTTGGAGGTGTTCTGAACACAAGCCTGAGCTCTAGAGGCCCTGGGCAAGGGGTCTTGGGGTATCYAAGCACTCTTCATATATGTACTTTTATTTTACTTTGTGTGTTTGTATATCAGGGATTCCCATTCATCTTAGAAATAACATTTCTAGGATATCTGGAGGTAGAAAAATGATATATACTTTATCCAAAAGACTTTGAATCTGGGTCCAGAAATTTTATTAAGTCCATCACAGAGCAAGGGCTGTGGCAGTCAGCGGGGTCGCTTCGTGCCTCCAGGCATGAAGTTAATCCGGCAAGTCCACCAGCAAGGAGACCAGCCTCTGCTGTCGGGCCTTGCGGGCTAGCGTGCCAGGTTCCCTGGCCTTATAAGGCAGCTCCCTCACCTGATGCTTCCCAGCCAGTCACAAGCGAGGTCACTCGCGTTTCAGTAGCCACAGCCCGGAGAAGTGTGTGGAAGGCCTGCTCCCTACTGAGGTTCAAAGGAGCCCCTCCTTTTCCAGAGCACTTAGCCCACTCATTTCCCTCTGTGGCAGGAGATATTAAAAGCTTTTGAGAACTACAAGGCATTAATGGTCTCTGTCAATGTGAGCGGCAAGGAATCTCTGCCAACTGAGAGCACCGAAGCCACAGAGCTCCAGAGTAGACTCCGCCAGCTGGGCCTGCGCTGGGAAGCGGTCCAGGGCGCAGTGGACAGCTGGAGAGGGGACCTGCGGCAGTCGCTCATGCAGTGCCAGGTATGCTGACTCAGCCCAAGGCTCTGTCTCCGGCAGTGGCCAGGCCCATGTGGTGGGAGCAGCAGATATTTTTATTATCATCAGACTGCTTTGGCACAAATGTGGCTTGTACTAGGAAATGTGTGCTTTACTGTGTGTTTCCAAAGAGTCATGCACCCCAGTGCACGTGCGTGCGCGCGCACACACACACACACACACACACACACACAGTGCTCGCCTTGAGTCTCCTGGCCTCACCCACCCCCTGTGACCTGTAAGGGTCACAGCAAACATTCTTGTAGGTTGGGAATGCCACCCCAACACTGCCCCATCTCTGTCCTTCTGCCAGAGTGATTGGCAGACCTGGTCATGGAACTCAGGAACAGTTAATCCAGGTGTACGACTTCATAGCTTTGGACTTTAGGCAAAATCACTGAGTCTCCCAGTCTTGGTTTTCTCATCTGAAATATGGGCATCGTTTTAATACCTGTCTCCCAGGTCCTTTTTAGAACTAAATGAGGTGGTGTGTGTCATCTTAGCCCTGTGCCTGACATATAAGTGCTCAGCATTTATTAACACTGCATTGCTGTTTAGCTGTGACCCCATTTTAGGGAACAGAGCCCACCACAGCCTGGGCCAGCTCCCTTAGCCAYGGAGCCCAGTGAACTTGTTGAAGAATGCACATGGTCTCTTCGTTGAGGATGACCTGAAGCCCCTCCTTTCTGCTAGCACTTTCCCCCTGCTCTCCCCTTGGCTTGGTTTGAGGCCTTGTACTGTAATTGAGATGTGGCCCTTTTTTCACTGTCTTAGAAGAATGTGTGACTGATGGCTGAGAAGCAGCCTGCAGCCTTCTCGGCACTTCCTCTCCCATGGTGCCCAGAAGGCGCAKTGCTTAGATTATGTTGTTTTTTAAGGATTTCCACGAATTAAGTCAAAACCTGCTCCTGTGGCTGGCAAGTGCTGAGAACCGGAGGCAGAAGGCTCATGTCACCACTCCAAAGGCAAACCGCCAGGTCCTCCAGGAGTGCCAGAAAGAACTAATGGTAAATTCCCTTCTCCAGGGTTCTGCAGGTCACTGGCTGCTGGCTGCTCCAGCTGGTCAGAGTGCTCCCGGGCACTGACAGTGCCAGAGGCAGCTGTGACTGTGACTGAGCTGTGACTCAGGAGTTTGGCCCTCATGTTCCCTTTGCTGTCCACCAAGCAGCCCTCTGTAATCGTGAAGCACAATGACTTGCAGAGATGAAGAGATAGAGCAAGAAGTCTTTCAGACTCTCAGGAATTGGGGACATGAGTGTTTATAATACCCTGACAAACCAGGCATGGCATTACAGGCCTGTTATCTCAGCAACTCAGGAAGCTAAGCCAAGAGGATTACAAGTTTTAGGCCAGCCTGGGCAACTTAGCAAGACACTGTCTAAATATCAGAAGAGCTGGGTGGAGCTTAGTGGTAGAGCCTCGTGCACACTTGCCTAGTGCATAAGATCTTAGGTTCAATCYCAGGTACTTCTGAAATAAATTACATCCTGAAAAACATAAGACCTGGGGACATAGTTCCAGGACTCCTGTAGGTACCAAAGTTTTGGATGCTCAGGTCTTCCTACCCCACCCTACTCATTCCTTTCCTCTGATTTCTCCAGCATCATAATTATCTGCAGAGTGGAAAGGAATAAAAAAGCAGGGACAGGGTGCAACCTGCTTGCTTTCTAAACAGTGCTAGACTGAGGACACAGGCAAAGTAGAAGGCTCAGCATTCATCGGGAACTGAGAAAGCCTCGGGTGGCCACACCAGCTTCTCTTTGGACAACTATTTCACACACTTTTTATTTCAGCAACTGAAAAAGGAACTAGTGGAACGTCAGCCTCAAGTCAACTCCCTACAGGAGCTCTCCACCAGCCTTCTCGTTAAGGGGCATGGAGAAGACTACATTGAAGCTGAAGAGAAGGTCCATGTCATCCAGAAAAAACTCAAACAGTTACAAGAACAAGTATCCCAAGATTTGATGTCCTTACGGGGAAGCCAGGTGAGTCCCCTGGTGGCTTTTTTATGGGTTAAGATGTCACAGTAGAGGCAGACAGAAGGCAGGGTGTGTAGCCGTGCTGTGGCGAGGAGGCCAGGAGAGAGCAGGTGGTCTGAGTGGAGTGTGGCCATACAAGTTGCATAAGCTCCTCACATGTGTTCTGTATGTGAAAAGGGAGACAGCAAGGTAACTGCCTTAATTGTCATGGCTGGGGTTATGGAAAGCAGCCATCCGCCATCATTTCTGCCTTCAGATGGATCAGACTCGAGGCTTCACTCTCACTTCTATCTCAATAGTGCTGTTTCTTGAGAGTTTCCCTTGACATCTGCCTTAGTGGATGAGGGCCTGGTCTTCCCACATCACCCTACTCACTTCAGAGGTTTCATGTCCTCTTTATTGTCCTGGTCCCTTTGTTCTCACCACTTCTCTAATTTATTTAACTTCCCTCTCTTTAAAATGGGATAAAATTTAGAACCAAAGGAGTACCCAGGCTGTGGGCTCCCCAAACTTGGGACAGGTCCCTCTACTCTAGAATGTCTACTTCCTCCTGTACACCCAAGACTTGATGTCTCGATGGCCACAGTGACCTTGGTGAGCCCCTGGTCAGCTGGAATCAGTGCACATGGCTGTCCTAGCCCTGGTTATGTTCTCTCTTGTCTGAAAAGATTTCGAGTCAAGGGCAGAGAGCAAGGGAAGGAGCCTGCTCAGGAGGAGCTGTAGGCTCGGGGAGGGAGCAGGGCCTAGAAGACTGTGTGAAGCATGGTTCTGTGCTCTTGTGACTATTCTGAACTGAACTGTTGGGGTGTGGCTTTCAGAACTCAGACCCATCTCTGCTCAACTTTGATGAGGTAGACTCCGGGGACCAGCCTTCTGCAGCAGCCATGGGAGCTCCCCAAGCGAAGGTGAGAGCCCCTGCCTTCTGTCAGAACCACAGTCATGATTTTTTTATTTTTAATTTTAATTATTTATTTGTATGGGGTGTTGAGAATCGAACCCAGTTCCTCACACATGCTAGGCAAACGCTTTACCATGGAGCCACAACCCCAGCCCCATACACTCGTGAGATGACAGAAACTTGGAACTCCAAGACCCCTTTAGACAGTTCCTGACAGCACAGATCTGCTTTAACTCTAATCAAAAGAAATTCTTCCTCCAAAGATTTTTTTTTTAATATTAAAATATACTTTTTAAAAAGACCTGACTCAAAGATTGTCTCCTACTCAGTTACACTAGTTTGGGATCATAGTAGATTGTAAAATACGAGGGCCCTTGTTAAAGGGGTTTCCTGATTTCTCCCTCAAATCAGATCAACAAACATGATAGTTTAACAAACCCAATTATTTCTTACTCAGTATTGTTGAATCTCAGGTGTCTTAGTCTAGTCTCAAGTGTGGCAGGAAGACGAGCTATAGAAGTGTATCACTTTAGGACCAAACTGTCTTCAACTTACTCTTTGGCTTCTTTTTCCCAGCAGGTCAGAGCAGAGAGAACTACAGAAGATGAGAATGAGACAGACAGCAGGTAATGACCTCACAGTCACAGGAGTGACTCCCCAGGGTTCACAGTCACTGTGCCAGCTCTGCCAGTGCCACTATGCAGGTCCTTGTAGAAATCTGGTTTTCTTTCTCCTGGAAACTGCTARGGTTTCTCTTCCAAAACAGGACCCCAGCTGTTGGCTGCCTTTGGCTCTCTCACCCCAGATTTTCTTGCTTACATAGCAGAGGGTCAGGGGAGCAGGTGAGTGTGTCCTCTGGAACCTGCTGATCAGCTCTCCTCTGTTGGCAGGATGTCTGGCCCCGGCAGCTCACAGCCACGGCGCTCCTTCCTCTCCAGGGTGATCAGGGCAGCACTGCCCCTGCAGCTGCTYCTGCTGCTGCTGCTGCTCCTGGCCTGTCTGCTGCCCTCCTCYGAAGAGGACTACAGCTGCACCCAGGCCAACAACTTCGCCCGCTCTTTCTACCCCATGCTGCGGTACACCAATGGGCCTCCCCCGACYTAGAGGGCTCAGCCAGTCCCAGCACCATACCACCAGCCTCTTTGCTATGGGTGCCCAGCTTGTGGCCCCAGACCAATGTGTGAGTGACTCTTAGCACTGGGAATGTCCAGGGACCTGTCGAGGACACCCACCTCTGGGCTTGTCCAGAATGGGCTCTTGGGGTTCCAGGGCAGCTTTCAAATGAAGTCCTTCCTGGGGACAGGGAACTATTGCAGCAATTGCCAAGGGCATTTGGGCAAAGCTAGTTGATTGGTTGAGGGAACTCTGGAAAGGGCAGTTTTCCTAAGAGYCTCGCACTTTGTAAATTCTGACTTATTTGTAAAACAGCATTATTATAACGTAGCTAACGTGGTCCATGAGCAGTGGCGTTCATCACAGAATATATATTAGAGAAACAAGCAGATCCCACCTTAGAAATGGTTCCAAAATTCATATGCACCGAGCTGAYTGACTGAAACAATCATATTTTAAATGTTTAGAATCAGTTTTCTTCCAATCAGCTAGTGATCTTGAGCTACCAGTTTATAAACCAAAATGTTCAGCTCAGTACCTAGATCTGCTCTTTTATATTGCTTTAAATTTTTAAAGAAATTTTATTGCATGGATGTGGTTATTTGTGCATATTTTTTAACAATGCTGAATCTATGAATAATGTAAACTTGGATTTTTTTAAAAATCAGATTTTAGCTTGAGCTTTTGACTAATGTACAGTAAACGCCAAACTACAAACTTGATAGGGATGTTTTTGTAAGTTAATTTTATAAAAATTTTCAATGTTTAAAGAGATGCTTCAGGTTTGGTTGAACCATTTTGYCAGGGGGCGGGGGTTGATACAGAAACTTGAAGCTGTCTGTGGTATGTACAACTCAGATGTTTCTCATTAAAAAAAAAAAAAAAAATTAGCCAAACTGTTGTAGTGAATTATATCACAAAGTGGGTCAGTGGCCAGTCTTCTATTAAACAAAAATTGTTTTTAAAATATTATAAGGGGCTTTTTATTCTAAGCTAAAATTTATATTCTACTTATTTAACTTTGTACAGGATTGTTTGAGATCTAGAAACCTCACCCTGTCTGGAGGAAGGACCCTTGTATATGTGTCAATGACTCAATGTATGATCTCAGGTGCTAATAGGGAGTAGATGAAGAAAGTCCCAAAGGGAAGGTGGACGCAAAAGATCAAGAACATATGACCCAGTTTTTGTATTCCCATCTCTTTCTGGAATGAATTGCAGACTCGATATCCCTTATCCAAAATGCTTGTAGCTAGAAGTATTTTAGATTTGAAGCTCTTTTTGCATTGGAATATTTGCATATGCATAATGGGMTATATAGGGGAAGGGAACCAAGTCTAAAAAGGTATTTTATATTTCGTATACACCTTATCCACAGAGGCTGATGGTAATTTTATGCTATATCTTAAGTAATTTTGCACATGAAACAAAGTTTCACTGTGCAGAATCCAGTTGTAGCATTATGTTAGTGCTCTCAGTGCTCAAAAAGTTTTGGATTTTGGATTTTTSGGTGAAGCATGCTCAACCTGTGACAGGTRATCAAGTGTTTAACAAATGTTTCAGGCAAAGCCACCTGCCTTCCATACAATTCCAGCACCACTGTCTGCCTTCTGCCAAAACAAAGAAGGTAAACCCCAGCATTTCTGCTGCCTTGAAGTTACCCAGTTCCACACCTGCATCTCGAGTATCTAGAGATAGATGTGAAAATGGGTCATTTTCTGCGTTTGGAGGCTGAGGCAAGAGGATCACAAGTTCAAGGCCAACTTCTGCAACTTAGACCCTGTCTCAAAAAATTAGGGCTGGGAATGAAGCTCAGTGGTAAAGTGCCCTGGGTTCAATTCCCAGTACCAAATATTTCACCTTTTTCATAAATTTCTCTGGGATTACATTAATTTAAGTAAAAATGTTACAGCTCTTTCCTTAAGGCACTGAGTTGCTTAGAGAGTTCCTGCTCCATTTTAGCCYGAGAGGAAGAACAAAATTCCTATCTCCCTCTCCATCTTCCATTCTGCCCTAAGGGGGAGACCTGAGGCTGGTCAAAGTGCTGGTTGCATTTCAAAGCCTAACTATGCATATCAACTGTGGACACTCCCTCAAGATAAAGACCTTTAAGTCTTGAGTTTAGTCACCCCCAACTCTGATGAAACCACTGCTGCCTTCCCTCACCTCAAACTCAGTATATTCCCAAAAACACTTCTCTGAGATAATGTTTTATATTGCTGCAAATATATTTGCATCTTTCCATCGCCACTTGTGGGGGAAATTTTCARGTGACCATTGACCCAAAGATAATTTCAATATGAATGAATTATTTTCCCCTGCATTTCTGAAGGGTATGATACTAAATGACTCAGAAGGGGTCATTACAGAAAATCTACCCAGATAATTGATGCCCTGCACACCAGGACTTTGACATTTTGTGGGCTTCATTTTACTCATACACACTTACCTGTGGTCARATCACAAATGATTTAGTGACTAAAGATTAAATGTTTCTTGTTGAAGAAGCTGGAGATGAAGGCCGAGGTGAACTCTTCTGAAATGAGGCATTTGTGTTTATAGATCTCATAAAGGAAGAATGCGCCCATGGTCGTCATCAAATTTCCAGAGGGCTCTATAAACTCAGAATTCACAGTAGAATGTAGATACCATTTAGCCCAATTATAAGTTCTTATATGCCCAACAAATACGTCACAAAAATTAGGAAATCACTTTATTTATGTCACATTAAACTTTTATCTGCGATGGTTCCATAGACATTGGAAGGACACAGTAAGGAAAAAGCGCTACTCAGAGGAATGTAAAGCAGGTCTCCAAGTCTGCTTCCACACAACATCACACATTCATTTCTTGAAAAGTCCGCATTTGAAAACCTGTGAACGGGAGTCAACAAATCAAGGGCACAAAGCATCACCCCCMAAAAATGACAAATTAGAACCAAGCAACAAACTCTGAGGTACACAGGACCATTGAAGAATATAGTTATAGGACCAATACTCATATGACATTCAGACACCATTGGACATCTGCCCTTCCCAGAGAGGAAACCCACCATCAACTGGCTGGTCCTATAAGTGAATTAGGATCCTTGGCATTAAAAAAAAAAAAAATCCTTGACTCATGAACAACAAAAAAGGCTGATAAATTTATGTATCACAGAGACCACAAACATGGAGCCAAAATTCCAGTGAGCTCAAGAGCTATGAAGATGCCTGTATTTTCACAATATGGTATTAATCGCTACAGGAAAGTATTCATGCCTAAGAGATGTGAGACTTCTACATGGGTAAATTTCCAAGGAATATACTCAGCTTGACACATTTGGGGAAAGTAGTAATAGGTAGATAGTGGTGGTGATGATGGTCCCTTCTGGCCTGTGAGCCCAGGAAGAGGAGAGGAATAATATAGTACATCTTTTTTTTTTTTTTTCCTGCCTGCCACTGCTGCCACTTGTAAGAATTCATGCAGACCCCATCCAAGCTGAGAAGGCAGGATCTGAAGGTACAACACAAGCAACCCTAACTGACTAACCATCTTTCCATCCTACTGAGATTCAGCTCAAGAAGCAGAATCCTACAGCAATAATGCTAGCTGGACAAGCAGACTGGAATTCCATTCCAGGTTCCATGGTAAGTATGACCTTAAGCAGGTCAGTTGTCCCCTRGGGAATTTCATTTACACATGTATAAATGATGGATCTGGGTGCTGTGGCACATGCTTGTAAACCCAGCAGCTCCGGAGACTGAGACAGGAAGATCACGAGTTCAAAGCCAGCCTCAACTCAGCAAGACCCTGTCTCTAAATAAAATACAAAAGAGGGCCAGGAATGCGGCTCAGAGGTAGAGTGCCCCTGAGTTCAATCCCCAGTACCCACCCACCCACAYCCCCAAAAAAGAAAAGGTGGAACTGAATTTCTGTGTCAGAGGTTTCCAAGCTGTTAACTGTGTCTGCAGGGTTGTAGTAGGCATTAGGAGTATACAGTATCATCAGTAAGTCCCACTTAAGTCACAGTAGCCATGCATGTCAGAGTGCTTTTGATAAATGGATTCTGCAGTTTAAAATTATTGGGATGGGGCTAGGGCTGGAGATATAAGTGAGTGGTAGAGACCCAAAAGATAGATAAACAGATATATATATATATATATATAGATAGAGAGATAGATGTATATCTATATATATATATCTATATATATCTATATATATATCTATCTATATCTATATATATCTATATCTATCTATATCTATATATATATATATATCATGTGCATCCCCGGCCCTTTCATAGTTTTTGAACTAGTTGAACTGCTTGATCACTTCCAGCACTGGACTTGGACTGCCTATATTCAGCTCTGTTACTTGCCCTGTGTGGCCTGTGTGGACTGGAACAAGTTCGCTTAGACTCTCTAGTTTCCAGCCAGAAAGTTATGATCATGGTAATCATTATGGAAATTGAATGTAAGTAAGTGCTAAAGGCTTACTTTACATAACCTTTATTGTGTTTTTTGAAAGGGTTTTGGCAGCTTAAAGATATGTACCAATCTTATTTAGAGACAGGATCTCACTGAGTTGCTTTGCACCTTGCTTTTGCTGAGGCTGGCTTTGAACTTGCGATTGTCCCACCTCAGCCTCCCCAGCTGCTGGGATTACAGGCATGCACTACTGTGACTGGCAAAAAATATACCAATCTTAATAAAAATAATTTGTTTTAAGCCAGGCGTGGCATATACCCATACTCCCAGGGACTTGGGAGGTTGAGACAGGAGGATCATAGGTTTCAGGCTAGCCTCGGCAACTTAGTGAGGCCCTATCTCCAAAATAAAAATGGTTGGGCAGGTAGATCAGTGGTAAAGCACCCTTGGGCTTAATCCACAGTACCAAAAAATATGTACGTATGTGTGTATAGAACTAGAAACTGAAGGTTCATCTTGAATTAGAAAAAGTATCAAAATATTCAAGACCCTCAGCAGATGAAAATAGGAACCAAACACCTATTTTCACTTGCTAGAAAATTCTAGAATTGCTTCCATTTAGCTCACATACATATGAATATGTAGTACGGTTTTGCCAGGAGTTGGCAATTGATTTTTTTTTTTTGTTCTAACTGAATTCTGAAATAACTGTTTTTACTATAATTAAGATTCTCTAAATTTGTTATTTGGCTGACAACTCTGTCTTTTGTTCTCATATCAAATTTTCAAGAAAATCTCAGGATTATCTGGRGTTTAATCTTTTCTAGTTGGTCCTGGTACATGACAGGTCTGAGGATGGAAAAGAGGGAGTGAGAACAGAGGGAACTTCCCTTAGAAAACCCACTGTGAAAAAACCACTGCTCTCCTGAGGTTGTCCACCCTGGTCCTCTTTAGGGACAGCCAGTCACTATCTGAATCTGAGTGAACTCTGGGTGGGAAGGACATTCCATGGTGACCATTAACATTTGTCTATATGACCCCATGTTAGTTACTCATGTTTCTCAAATTAAGCCCAAATATCACTCATCTCCTGTAAATATTTCTTACATTAAACGGTCAGTTCCAAATTAAAACAGGAAGGAAATCCTGTGATACCAATATAAGGCAAAGCTGAGGATCAGGGTTCCAAAATATGTTGAAAGTAGTTAGGTCTTGTATTCATTCAATAATCGAATTCCTGTTAACACTTGTCAGATTCTGTTTGCTCTAATTAATTCCTTTTAAAAACTGAACTTGGGAAACACTGCGATCCCTGCTTAGCTATGGGARAACTTGAACTGCCCTAGAGGAATGTGGACGTAGACTATTTAAGAAGAGTAGACATCCCCAAAATGAAGGCATTTCAAAGAAAGCACTGTGAATTAGACAAACTACCATCTTTAAAATGGACACAGAGGATTTGATCAGCACATCAAAAGGGCAGCCTAAAGCATTTTTTAAAAAAAAGTCCATCTTTAGAGGATATATTTGGATCAGATGGGCAGAGATACTCAAAACACTTCATCTGAAGAGGAAGAGGACCCTGGGATACTCCAAATGAAAAACAAACCCTTTGAGTACCAAGTATGTTTTCTCTATCGTCTGGTTGCCCCAGATCCCAGTCAGAGCACTGGGGTGAGAAGGTGCTAACCTGTGCAGCCAGCACACCCAGGTGAGACCTGGAAAGATTCACATCCTGGCTAAATCCTTGAGAAACAGGCAGAAGAATTTGTGGAAAATAACTAAAGGCCACTGGACAAGAATCACAGGGAACGCCCACTTACCTGGAAACACAGGACTTGGCACAAAGGGCACTTGGCCACCTGAGTCCAATCTGGTACTTTCTTTAGGTGTTAAAACTCCACCTAAGGGGGCCGGGTTGTGGCTCGGTGGTAAAGGGCTTCCCTAGCACATGTGAAGCACTTGRTTCAATCCTCAGCACCACATAAAAATAAAGATTAAAAAAAAAAAAAATCAACCTAAAAAATCCACTCCGCTATGTACACATTAGGCAATGGATTGGAACCCATTCTATTGTTTATTCTTGTTTTTCTTGCCCGGTCATCTATAAAATAGAAGAATTCACTGGCAAATAACTGTTCAAGGCTGCCTTCTTTGCCCCCACTGCCAAGCCTTGTGTGTTTACAGTAGGAAACTTTAGGCTGGTCAGAAAGAAAGAAAACTGACCTTCTCTGCTTCCTTATGAAATCAAGCTTGTTTTCTGTGCTGAATTTCTCTAAGCCTGTCACATTTGGGTTACTGAGAATAATTTTAAACTGCCTCAGATTACCAGGCTTGGTGTGTCCAATGTCCAAGTGTATCTAAGACAGCTAAACTCAACTTTTTTAGTAAAGTTGCACCAGGGTCAAAATTAAGAACTAAAGGTTTTTCACTAGCAAAAACTAACCTTTGTGACATTAAATTTAATCTTCCTAATGACAGTAAATACAGGATGTGCTAGCCAAAGTAAACTTATTTTCAAAAAGAAAATGCACTTACTGTCATATTCCAAGGAACTTTTGAAAAACATTACTACAAAAATCAACATGATCATTTAACTGTTCATTTCCAAAATAATGACTGKTATACATTTTACACATTGGCTGTGTCCTCCAAAAATTGGACTGAAAAATTTCCATTTTAAAAAAAAGTGAGTTAAAATTGTCATTTCAGAAGTGCTTTGTCTTCCTTTCCTATTTCTATATTGCCCAGACTACCATATAAATTTTCTGATAAGAAAATATTTTGAGAGTTCCCCAGGGGTTAAAAGGATTATTTTTTGCCACAAATACTTACCCCTAAATAGTTCTCTTTTTTAAGGAGAGTCTCCAAACCAAGTCTTGTTCCAGTGGTGCCTAGACAACATGGCCCCAGAGCTAACATGCTAGTGTGTGTGCGTGTGTGTAGCATCTTTCCACAGAAAAGCACCCATAACCCATGGTGTCCCTGTGTCCCCCAGGTGGCTGATGTGGYACTTATGGCTGCCACTTCTGCCATGTAAGATGGAAACTGCATTCACAGCATCCTGGGAAAAACTGTGGCTAAAACCCACACCCACAAGAGAATCCCATTCCTGCAGACATGAGGTCTTTCTGTAGCACACGTGCTAAGCACACTGGGACAATAGTTTCAAGAAGGCCCAACTCCAAGGGCAGAGAAATTTAAATCTGCCACAATCCTCCATGAAAGTGATCACACACACCAAAAGAATTAGTGGGCTCCATGAATGCAAACGAAGGGACAGATGTGTGCAAAGAGAGCAACAAAGTCTGGTAGGAAGATCAAGGCTCACATGCCAGTTTAACCACTGTCCCCTTGGTCTTTGACAGAACCTCAGAACATGACATCAGTCCTCACAGGCCTGTGAGGTAGGTACGTGAAACTAGTTAACTGATTGTCATTGCGGTTTTCGATCCTATAATCAAATGGTCCAGAAGAGAGCATCCAAAGGTCAATTCCAAAGGGACTACAGAGTGCACAGTAAGGGTTAGTCCATTTCCTATCAATATGTCATGTTCTAATTTGCAATACTTCCAAGTCAGACTTACACCATTCATTCCAAGACCTTTAGGATATTTCCCAAAGAGGTGGAATGGAGATGGAAAGTAAGAAAGGGACCACATTGAGATCCTAGACAGCCATGTAACATGGGACTCTGTATTCAAATGTGCCCCCAGTACAAGGAAAACCTGATTTTCTCACCCCGACTCCTGAGAAGTGGAAGGTAGGGAAGGACCAAACATGACGGAGGCAGCCATACCCAGATGAGGGGCCACTCTGTGGAGATACGGTGAAGGCCAGGCTCCCGATCTGCTTAAGTTCATGCTTCTGACTTTGACCTCACGTGGGCCTTTTTACCTCCAGGCCAGGCATCACTGAGACTGTGGGTTCTGGGAGCCCTCTTTGCTCTTTCTGTCCTCTGCTGAACTGCACTCAGACCCCGAGACGGAGGACTTGTATCCACGGAGCGTGTGAGCATTCAGCATCTCCAACAGCAGGTCATACACGGGAACCACATTTTTGCACTTCATGCTGAGCAGATGTTCCATGCCCTTGTTACTATAGGACAAAAAGATACTGAGATTTTTTTTCCCTGAGGGTAGGGTTGGGAATGTCAAAATCTTCCCCATTCTCCTGCGCAGAGCAGGTCCGAAACTGCCCCCTCCAAGCATTCCCCCAGTCTCCTACTCTACAGCTCAAGCATTCCAGCTCTCAGTAATTTATATTCAAGGACAAAAACAAAATTGTCTTGACTTCTGTGTCCCACCACCCACCCAGCACATGGCACAGGGTACAATCAATTCTAATTATTCACCGTAGTCATGTTCTATAAAGTCACTGTAAACACCGAATTAGGAAATACTAAGTCACTGCTCCTCAGGGACATACACAGTTTCTTAAAAACTTCTCGTCCCATTTTCATCAGCTGGTCAAGCTTGTTTTAGGTGTGTTTATATAAAGATGCCTTATTTAATTGACATTGTCAATTTATTAGCATCAAACTCACAGCCAACAAAAGGCACCCTAACTCATGCCTGAAGCAAACTTACCTATTTTCTCCAAAAGGCACATCACAGCTTTTCTAAGATAGAGAGCATTTCTGCACTACATTAGGAAGCTGTTTTTTAAATGAAGTTGCCCCCCCCAAAAATGTAAAAACGTGGCTCTGAATAGTGTACAGGAGCCAGACCCAATGGCACATGCCTGTAATCCCAGCTACTTGGGAGGCTGAGGCAGGAGGATTACGAGTTTGAGGACAAYCTGGGCAAAATAGATGCTGTTTCAAAAAGAAATAAAGAAAAAACAGGGACAGTGGTCTTTTTTCCTCCCTCGTGCTAAACTCCTTCCCCACAGCCCCTCACYTGGCTCCTCAARCCGACATTATCTTCCACCTTCATCCAGCCCCGGTGCAGGGCTACCCTCCTGGGTGACACCATGCACCAGCAGAAGCCACTGCTGCCACCCCCTTCACCAGCACACAATTTTACRTGTGGGTCTGGAATGTGCTCTATCCACAACCCTGCCTTCCCAAACTTGTTTGGAAGATCTCATTCTTAATATCTTGATGTCATCAAAAGGAAAAAAATAAATTTTAGGAAAGCTTTGTGCGCTTCCCCAAATCASGGGCCTAACGGATGCCCTAGGAGAATCAGACTTAGCCTCTTCAGGAACATGACTCAGGGTGGTGGTTCATTGCAGRGGAGGAACTGCCCCTTTTAGGACTCCATGAAAAAGCTCTAAACCCTAGCAACCAAAAAACAGGACACCACATGATGCCAAGAAAATCTGGAAGGTGCCCTGTGACATTCACTCAATACTGCGTGCCAATCTCTGGTTACACGTGAGTGAACATCCCCACTCCCTTTCACGGGTTTTCTCTTAAAGGTGACAAGCCTACACTCTCCACCTTCAACTTCCCAAAGCTCTGAGCGTGTACACCGCGCATGCGCTCAGTGGAGCAGCCCCTGCAGGCTGGTACCTGATGTGCCTGACGTGAGACAGGAGCATCAAGAGATTAGCCAGGCGAACGGACTGCTGCTGGGAAGAGATGCCGCTCTTGGCGATCACCCAGACCAGAGCGTCAGTCACAGCATTCAGCAGGTGAGTCAGCTTCCGGCTGCTCTCCGCCTCCTGGCTCGCTGTAGCCAAAGGGTACATACCTGGATGAGACAATGAGAGCCCCAAGTCATTGCTCTGTGAAAAACCAAAGTCACGTGCTCACCATGAAGCGTGCCCACGTCGTYGGGGAAGGAAGCCCACCTAGGTCTGAGCTGTTCTGGCTTGGGCATCTGAGGCGAGATCTCAAGAGCCTGACTTTACCTCCCAGGGGTTCTTCCCTGAAAGCCAGCCCCATCCCTGAGCTGCAAGGGAAGCCCAGCTGAATGCAGGGCAGATAAATGGCAGGGCAGATAAATGATCTCTTGAACAATCTGTCAGGCCAGAACAGTGGCCTCGCTCAAGCAGTAGGTGTATCTATTCTCCCCAGATCATGATGGGATATTTTCATCCGCAGTGACAAGTATATCTGGAGGTCAGAAAGGGAGATTGGTTCTACTCTGAGCCCAAAAAGAGCTCCTTACCTAATGGAGTTTAAGAAACAATGGCCAATGCTATGAAGCTTGGCCTCCCCCACACCACCACCATGCGTGTGTCCCACACAGGTGGCACCACTGCCACCCTGTCCAGATCCTCAACATCTCGAACTTATGGGACACCTTGCTGGGACAGGATAACCACCCATTTGGAGTCGGGTTTTGCCTATCTTATGTTTACCATTTCTAGCTCTCAAACCCTGATCCAGTTCTCCAGCTCCAACCTCAAAGGAACATTATTTCCTTAGGCCCGGAAAAGCAGGGTTGCCTCCCCAACCTGCCCTACCCTGGGTTCAATTCCCCTCTGACTCTGGGATCTAAGATGCTGCAGCTTCCCAATGGTTGCAAATTAACAAAATAACAACTCAGGTAAGTCTCCCCCCTTCTCTGCCCCCACAAAACAATTCTCAATTCCTGAAACATTGACTTCTCTTCCAGGCTTTCAATTTCAAAGTAATAATAAGTAAAAAAATTATGTGACATCAACCACAGGTACAGATTTGACTGTAGTGATGGATTTGTCTTGGCAATATTTGCTCTGGTTCTTTTTTGACATTTTTAGTTACATTGAGGCAACTCAGTTCAAATACGCCCAACCCCACCTGCGGCACAGGATACACAGAAGCACAGCTACCCAACTGCAGAGCTTCCGCATATGCCTAGGGGCCTGCCATAATGTCTCGTGATGCATATCTAAAATATCCACTTTTTATAGCATCCCTGAAGCAACTTCCCTAACCCACCTGCTCACCTTGTCCTCCATAGTGGCTCTTTGAATCCCTTCGCACCCTCTGGCCTGCCACTGCCCCCCAGTGGTGACCTGCCCTCTCAATGGAAAGGAAACAAGACCCCACTCTTGATCCAGGGCATCCCCTGAATGGCCAAAACTCAGATCTGCTCATCCAGCACCCTCTAAGGCACACCCTTTTGCGCTTTTGGGGTACAGTCCCAACCACCTGATGCAGCAGTCAAGGGACCCAGGTGATGTGCTAAACACGCCCAACCTCCTGCCTAGAAACTCCCTCCTTCTCCAGCGTTCCTTCTCTTATTTGTTTCTATCTATTCCTCCTTTAGATCCCAACCTGATCTTGGACTTCCTTGTAGAAGCTTCCCCTGTCCTGCCTACCATCCAACTTAAGTTTGGCTTTTGAGTTCTCCCCTAAAACCCCATATGCTGGATATCTGCCTTGTCCTCCTGCATCTCCAAAGCCACCCTCCAGTCCTCCCCAAGACTGCACACATGCGCTCTGAGGGCACAGAACCTGCTTGTCATTATATCCCCCTCACCTTGCACAATTCCTGGTGTGGAGGAAACATTCATCTGTGGGAGGAATTTAACTGAAATCACATAGGTTCAAGTTTTTGCATTTTTTTAGCCAATCATACATCGTAATTTTTAGAAACTATTTTTAGTTGTAGATGGACACAATATGTTTGTATTTTATTTATTTTCATGTGGTGCTGAGGATTGAACCCAGTGCCTCATGTATGCTAGGCAAGCTCTCTACCACTGAGCCACAGTCCTGGCCCCATCACCATCATCATTTAAATGTCAACACTTATTTTAGGTACACAACAGAAAATCATGAATTAAAAGTACAGAGAAAATTATTTTAAGTTCGCTTTGCCTAAAATTTATCCCAGGTGCAAAAATAGTTCTTTGAACTGTTATCTAATGTGTTCTGCTGCATGACGTGCTCTATGAGTTTCTACTGCCATAAAGAAATATGTCCTCAAATTCTAAAAGGAACCAAAATCGTATACCTGTACATATCTCATTCCAAAGTGACAAAATTTGAAATAATAAAAATAAGTCACAGCTTGTATTCAAAGGCTCACAGCAGCACTACTCATAATAGCCTAAAAGTGGGGGCTAGGCTTGTGGCTCCATGGCAGAGTGCTTGCCTAGCACATGTGAGGCAATGGATTAGATTCTCAGCACCACATATAAATAAATAAAATAAAGGTCCACTGACAACTAAAAACTTATTTTTAAAAAAATAGCCTAAAAGTAGAAGTAAGCCAAATGTCCATCAACGAATGAATGAATAAACAAAATGTGGTCTATCTATATAATGGAATACATGAGTACAGCCATGAAAAGAATTGAGTACTGACAAATACTATAGCATGTATGAACCTTGAAAACATTATGCTCAGTGAAAGAAGCTAGGCACAAGAAAACATTTTGATTGCATTTGCACAGAGTTATATATAGAATAGGCAGATTTATAGACACAGAAAGTAGATTTGTCATTGCCTGGAGGTATAGGTTGGGTGGAGAATGGAGGTTGATGGCTAAAGAATATCGGATTTCTTTTGGGGTGATAAAATTAATTATAGTGATGACGGCACCACCTCTAGTGAATATAATTAAAGCATTGAATTATATACTTAAATGGCTTCATTGTGTGGTATGTGCATTAGGGCACAAGATGTATTTAAATAAAAATAACACCTCAGAACGAAAATTAAGAAACATAAATGCCCTGGGCAGTGTGAGAACACATGCTAGGTGTTAGGTCACCCCACCCAAAGCAGCAGCATAGCTTGAGGCTGACCCTGACCTTCTGCAGGCCAGGGCAGCACAGTTCCACATAGTACCTCCACCCATCATTAATGAGCAGCTTGCAGAGGGCAGGCTTCAGAGGTTTTTTAAATTATTTTTATTTATTTTTTATTATTTCTTACATCACAATAGAGGAGTGCATTACATTCATAATTTTTTGCATTACAATTCTTAATACACCTTTATACCACAATTTATCAAAAAACAAATGCCAAATGTCTTCTCTGATATAAGGGGGGTGACTCAAAATGGGGTTGGGAGGGAGAGCAAGGGAGGAAGATTACCTCTAGACAGAGTTTTAACAAGGCATCAATCACACCAATTTTACATATGGGGAAATATAGAGACAACAGACTGCAACTAGCACACAACCATCCTGGGAAGGCAGTGGCCTGAAGAATGCCCACTGCACTGCCAATGCCCTCCCCAGACAGGAGCGCCTGCACTTTGGCCATTCATGCACCCTCTTGCTCACCCAACACCTGGGGACAGTAACTGCTAAGAGCAGGCCCTGGGCAGGAGCAAAGGACCAGACCGGAAGCCCCATCAGTCAAACACACAGGAAATGACAAAAATAAACCCCTCCACCCCCCAAAAGGTGGGAACATCAGCTAGGATTCATTATAGAACAGAATTACATGAAGCACCTTTCGTGAAACTAAAGAGATCTAGTACAAAGGATGATCTTGGCATAGTGCTCCACACATATCAAAGAGAGCAAAATAAAATCCAGGACACTGTCTCCTCTTCCCTCTGGGGACAGCTGGGCATCCCTCTCACTGGCCCATTTGATGATATTCTGAGAAGYACAAAGCCCCAGATCTGCCACATCCTATGTGTTCCAAGGATGAAGATAAGTAGTTCCTTGACTGAAGGCAAATAAATTAGAAAACCTAGACTGTTTAATTAAAATCCCAGAATACTGACCACGAAGAAATTTCCAGCTTATGGGAGGTGTAGTAGGTATGTGCTGTCTAATGTAAAACAGGATCACCTCTGTTCCTTTCCCTTGTTAAGTTTCATTCTTTTTAAGTCTTAAAACTGTTCAAACAAAAAAAAAATTTTAAAAACACTCTACAGTCATGTATAACTAAAACAGAAATATATAAATAAAAATAAAACCTCTATAAAAAAATTTTTAGACAAATAGACATGTTCCCAATTTAAACTAGTTTGAAAGATTCAGGGTAAATGTTTGCAGGTTGATTCCACTCTATTTCTTAGATTTAGTGATCTCTTTAATTCTGAGGGAGGATTACGAATCTTCAGGGTCCTAGGTGACAAGGATGGTCCTTCTGCTCTTAACTAAGGATGCTATTAACTGCAGTGCTCACGTAACACCTCTGAATTTCTAAAACACTTGAACATTGGAACAGGTTGTTAAATGTAACATTTCCTGTTGTCTCTGCATCTCAAGAGGTTCATCAGAGGCTGAGATCACACTGTGGTTCCAGTTCCACCCACATCCTCTGCATGCTCGGTGCAGAGGGTGACTGAGAAGCAAGCTAGAATGTTAAGCCCCCACCTGGAGGAGGATGTGCCTCCTCCATTTATGTCCAGTAAGGATCAGACCCTTGAAAGTTTAAGGATGTATCCCCTATTCTAGACCAAAAGCATTGTGTCCAGTTCATTTTGACATCTTATGAGTATATAATGGTTTCTCGTTGTGACTGTTGTTTTTTTTGGTTTTGATTTTGCAGGATTGAGCAACCCAGAGGTGTTTTACTCTTGAGCTATCAGGCTGGCCTCAAACTTGCAATCCTCCTRTCTCAACCTGCCAAGTAGCACTCCCACTTTTTAAAAATATCTTCCTTTAGATGGATTTTTCTTGTGGTTCTATTTTTAATCACCTTTATTAAAAATTATATTAGTCCTAACTCTTTGAAGAATAATTTCAACAGCTGCATTCAGGGTCATGATATACATATTTAACTCACTGCAGTTTTTGGTTTTTTTCAAGCAATACTACTTCATGTTCAGATGAAGAACTTTACAATAG